TTTTGACCGGTACTGTAGAGAATAAGGCTGCAGTCATCTTTTTCATATTAAGCTCTTGATCAGATAGTAACGTTATCTTCAAGGAAGTTTTAATAAAACTTTTAAACAAAATCATTTTTGGAGGAATTTTAATTGCCTCTAAATACAGTTAAAATGTCCTTCCTATGGTGCTTTAAGTTATAAAATAACGTTATTTTCGGGGAAGTTTATAAAAAATCATCTAAAATTTGTGTTTCTTATTTTGATTGAAAATTCTCGGTTGTCGATATATAAAATAAGATTTCAAAACAAGAACACACTTATCCAGTAAAATCGATTTATTGAATATGTTGTAACTTTCAATAAGAATTTTTAAATATTATGTTAACTTTTAGCAGTATTTATAGTGTAAAATTTGTTTCTATTTATAAAAAAAAAATCCTTTCTCCCTTTTATCTGCACTTGGAGGAAGCGAAAATCAAGCCACATTTTGTGATTGTTGATCTACTGATCAACAGTTTTCTATTTTTTCTAATTTTGAAAGATTAATAGTATATTAAATTCGCTAAAGAATATTAATATTATTATGTTATTCTTGGAGAAATCGTTTAATCATTTATTTATTACATTCATAGTGCCATTCGATAAACATAAAAGGCGTGCAATAAATTTTAGATTCGAAATCACGCAGATTTTCACGTGCTTTTAAGAATCTATAGAAACTTATAATTATTTAAATTGAATTATTAAATTACTTACAATCTATTGGTATAATTGTTTTAGAAAACAATTCCACAAAATAGCACAAGAGAAGAACAGGAAGAAATTTATTCTTTTATTTAAAGTAACCCTCTTTCGAAAAATAAAAATTCGAACTTCTCTTGTAGTTTTGATTATTTTTCATTGACAATTTTCTATATGCTTTTCTAATGATACAATCTATTGTATGAATTTAAAAAAATGTAATTTTCCAAAAAAAAATTTCGAAAATGGTAAAAAATAATTTTTTAAAAATTTTAATAATAAATAAGTTTAGATTCTAAATAATGTCCGAAAAAAATTGTCACACCTTAACAACTTAAATATCGAAAGATATCATTGTGTTAAACGCAGTTTTATAGATTTTTGGACCCCCCTCCCCCCTAAATTGGTAACGTAGTTTATGGATGGCCCCTTTCCCTTAATTATATAAATAAAAATAATAAAAAATTAAATTAAATAAAAATCAGACGAGTGACAGTTGCACTTACCGTAACCGAGGGTTCCGCACTTCTGCACATGAAATAATAGACTTTTCTGCATAATTAAGGTCTTTCTCCAATAGACTCCCAAAAGCATATTGAAGAAAGACACAAAATTCATTAATTATTATTATGTATTAATTAATTTACCTGTAAAGTAAAATAATTTTTGCATTTATGAATTAAGAAGCAAAAGGAATGTAATAAATGACAGCAAAATTTTACATTTCCATGGTCATTTTATTTCGAATACAGCACAGCTTTAGGGGTTTTTGTGTATTTACAATAAGTCTTCAAGTGTCCCGAAAAGTGGCTATAAATATATTCACGTAGCGTCCAAATTGGTGGAGCAAATATGCACATCTATCTAATAAAATATACGAAAAGAGGTAAATAATTATGAAGAAAAGAGAAAAAACGCTATACCTCCATAATGAAAAAATTGACACTTTGAGTTTGTTCATTTTCCTTAAGAGTTAAACCCTGCAATGAAAATTCTATGAAAAATATATTTTATAAAACAAAAGTCATGTCGAATATAATATAAATTGAAAACTCCTCGGTGAAAAGGTACAAATACGAAGAAATATTGTTTAGTAGATACAACATTATTTACAAGGAATACACCCTTAACAATGATTTCCCTTTCTTTTTCCTCAGTTTTCACTCTAAATCTGAATCAGTGAAAGATTCACTGATTTCGATAATCGGGCTTTTTTAATGTATCAGAATTTCACTAAGAATCAGCAAAAATCACTTTTTTCATCATCGACTAAATAATTTTCATCGACTATCATCGAAATCAGTAAATTTTTCACTGATTCAGATTTAAAGTGTTTTTACTTCTTCATTAATAAGTAAATAATTTATACATATTTTCACCAAGATTATTTGTTTAATATGTAGATTCTTGAATGGAAACTTAAATTCCATTAAGAAGAATCTTGACAATCGAGAGACAATAAAAAAGGAAATTCGAAGATTTATCAATAGAATTACTGAGTGACAGTTGATATATTTTTAATTCTCTAAACTTGCGTACTTTATAATTTAAGAAAATGGGACTTCCATTTTCTTTCCGTGGACATTAAAGACAGTATTTTGAATTCTGTGCATTTATTTTGGGGCATAAATTTGAGACATTTAAAATTAAATCATATCGACGATTGAAAGTGTGAAAATAATGTAAGATAACAATCTTTTGTTTAAAGTGACGTGGAAATGAAAATTCACCTAAACAGACAGAATCTACATTGAAAACATCTTTTTAAAAAAATACCTAATTAATATAATAATAATAATAAATAATTATTAACATGGAAAATTATTTATTTTATCTCATGAAACTTTGACAGTAAAATGCACAACTTGCTAAAGAACACAGTAGAATTTTAAAAATTGCATTTCATCCTACAATTTTTAAAAATTGCAGAAAATACAACCAAAAGCATATATGCTGTCCCTCCGATTAATTTCCGCGCATATTTTAAAATTGACCGATAATTACATTATCAATAATTTCTACTGATTAGTCAATTATTTTAAAATTCACGCCGAAATCTTCCTGTCGGATATTGGACTGTATAAAAATTCTAATAAAATTTTCTCAAATAAATATTTTAATAAATAATTTCTATGGGATTTGTATGGGCTCTAATTATTTATACTAAAAAATTTTGTAGTAGATTTCAGAAATAATAATCAAAATCGAGTTATGAATCTACTTTTTGTGAGTTCTTATCACCTGAAAAATTAAATGAATTCAACCAAGAAAACATTTAAATTTTTTGACTAATTTATCATGTAAAGTTGTCATAAGATTGCCTCAAAATTGAAAGGAAATTTTGTATTTTTTTGGTAGGTGGTCACTTTTTCAAAAAAAATATTTTTTAATCCTTTTCGTCCAAAAAAAGCGATTTCTAATTTATCATGTAAAGTTGTCATAAGATTGTCTCAAAATTGAAAGGAAATTTTGGATTTTTTTGGTAGGAGGTCACTGTTTCAAAAAAAAATATTTTTTAATCCTTTTTGTCCAAAAAAAGCGATTTCTAATGAAATCTGTTTTCTAAAAAAAGTTTTTCTAAAAATGTATGATTTCTAATATTTAATTTCCTGAAATTTGGGAAATTCTATAATTTTGATAAAAGTTAGAAAATTGTTAAAAAAAACAGTTTTGCATATTTTTTGTTTCTCAATCACAATTCTGTTTACAAAATTATGAGTTTCTTTTTGAAAAAAAGAAAATTTTTGCAAAATTTCTATTTCTTATCACAATTTTTTAACAAAATTTTGTTTTTCTTTGAAAATAAGAAATAATAATTTGCATCATTTTTATACCAAAATTTTCAAAATTACTATATTTATAAAACATTTTTTTTCAGAAAATTTTGAATATCTTTAGGGAAAAAAAGCCTATAATTTCTATTTTTAAATTACGATTTTCAACGATATTTTTTTTTAAATTTTGTTAAACACTTTGCATAATTTTTATTTTTTATTACATTTTTTTTAATGAAATTTCAAGTATTTTTTGTAAAGAATTAAAAAATGATTATAAATTTTATTTTTTAATCATATACCTATTTGATCGTCATTACAAAAATTGGATATTGTTAGAATTTTTTTTTTAATTACCTTATTATTACAAAAAGAAATTTTTAGAAAAAGACCTTTATTAGAAAAAAGAAAATTAAAAATCACCTTTATTAGAAAAAAGTTTTTCTTAAAAATTCACCTTTATTAGAAAATAAAGTTTTAGAAAATACGTTTTAGAAAAAATGTATCTCAACCCATTTTAAGGTTCACAAGTTCAAGGAAAGCTTAGATACTATCTACGAACTTATGTTTTTAAAATTTTTTTTTAAATATTTTGATTTAATAGAATTTAGTACAAGAAATTCAGAATAACTGATAACTAATTACTATAAGAAAAATATAAAATAATTTTTAACTTTTATTTTCGACTATAGAAGGCGTACAATAAAACATTTTTAGACATTTAAAAAGATTTAAAAAACCTATTAAAATATCTTACTTTTTTAGAAGAAATGAAATTATAATATCTTGTATTGAATATTTTATAAAAAAAATTTTTTAAAAATATTTTTATAAAAAAAATGTTTACTCTATTGAGTATTTTCAATTTATTAATTTTAACTGAGTTTAAAGATAAGTCGTTTCCATGACTATGATCCGGTTTTAGAAACCACGATTAAAATTTAATCGACGATGAAATCTTTAACCAACCAATGATGAAATATTATACTGGTCTTATATTATACTGTTCAGTCAGACTGAATTAACAGCAAATGTATGTCTGTTATAGGTCACGTGATCACCTCAATGTTAATTTGTTTAAATTATTTAAAATTTAAAATAAATTGCTTTTTTCTCGTAAAATAATGAACGAATTGTAAAAAATTCTAAAATATGATGAGGAGGGGCTGTTAAAATACTTTGAATCTAAGTTATATACCTGTAAGTTTGCAAGAAACTTGTATGAAAATTTACTTACAATGATGTGAAGTTTTACTATTTTCAGCGAACTTACCTGCGACTGTTTCTAAAAATTCCAAACTATTTTACACCCTAAAACAATATTCATTGTTCAATGTACTTTTATAAGAATTGTGCAACTCCTTTTGCATAAAAGAATGTAAAATAATAAAATATATTTTCAAGAATGGCCCCAATTGTTTGTCAAATAAATGATTTTTCTTTTCTGCATTTTAATTCTACGAAGTTTCAGTGTGAAAGATTCTGTCTTTCTAGGTAATATTATCTATTTGAACGATCTAGATGTTAATTTATTAGCTCTAAATATTTATAACGGTATTTAAATCGTTAATTTATAACATAATATACAAATATACAAGTGGCCGTGATCCATTTTATCAGACAAGACGAATTGTAGTTAGATTAGAATTAGGGTAAATTCGTTGACGGACACTGGCCAGAGAAGAAGTTTTTTCACTGGACACCAAATCGCCGGGTTCACATGTAAATTCGCCGCAAGTCTCCCGGTGATGTAATCATGTTGCACTGTGGGCAAAGTTTCTTTGCTCCCTGCAATCAAAATTTATAAGTGATATTTTAAAAAAAAAATTTCTTAAAAACATTCATTTCAAATTTCCTCTGATGATAATTTGAAAATTTATTCATTGAAATTATTTTGAAATTTCTAGAAAAGGTTCAGTTTTATGTAATTTATTTTAGTTATTATTTCAAAAAATTGTTTTCCAAACTGTGATTTCGCCTTAGCTTGTTAATTAAATTGTTCAAAAAATATTTGTTTGAGAATCTATTTGAGAATTTTCTTTCATTGATGACAGATTTTAAAAATTTTCAAAATTCAAAATGGCGGAACCAATATGTCGGACGAGATTTTTAAAAATTATTTCGATTTATTTCAAAATTGCTACTCGGGGGTTTTCGGGGTCTCTGATTTCGAATCCGATGTCAGTTTTTAAAAATTCAAAATGACGAAAAAAATTTTTAAACATTGCTCGGATTTACTAAAGAATTGCTATTCGGTAGTTTTTTGGGTCGCTGATTAAGAATTTTTATGTCAGTTTTTAAAAATTAAAAATGTCGGATTTAATATGAATTAATCTTTGCCGGTTAAAAAAAACGACCGCCGTATTGGATTCGTAATTTTTAATTTAATGAATTTTGAAAATCTGACAGCGAATTCGTAATCAGCGACCCCAAAAACTCTAGAAAGCTATTTTGAAGCAAATTGAATCAATGTTTATAAATCTCGTCAGCCATATTGGATCCGCCATTTTGAATTTTAAAATTTTTGAAAATCTGACATCTGGTTCATTATCAGCGACCCCAAAAACCCCCGAGTAACAATATTAAAACAAATTCAATCAATTCTATGCTATGTCGTATAAATTCTATTATATTCTGTTCCATGTTCCCATAAGTAAATAAATATTGGTATAAAGTGAGTTTTTTTCGATTGAAAAAAGTTGAAAAGATCTTCTTACCAAGGTGTGCAGCCAACATTGTTCACAGTGGACGTGCCAACAGCAGACAGAGGTCACTGGATTTTTGAAAGGTTCCTATTTGAAGAAGGAGAAAAATGATAAAAATAAACATTAATTCATCAAAAATTATTTTATACAACTCAGGCATATTATGGTCACTTTACTTTTCTCTACAGGCGCATACTAAGTTCTCCATTATAGTCCAGTAGTCAATAAAGTGCCCATTATTGCCCTAGGACAATAATAGGGTTGCCACATGTCAGGGAAATCAGGGAATTCAGGGAAAAGTTAGGGAAAGTAAAATTGGTCAGGGAAAAGTCAGGGATTTTTATTAAAATACTGGAAAAAATTGAATTTTGGAGAAGTTACAAATTATTGCAGAAATTCAATTATTTTCAAAAGTAATAAAATTCTTATCACAAAATTCAATTATGTTCAAAATTTAAAAAAAATTCTCCTCAAAATTCAATTATCTTTAAAAATAATAAAGTTCTTCTCCAAATTTCCATTATTTTTAAAAATTTTAATAACAATTTTTGCAAAATTTCAATTAATTCAAAAAAATTTTCTTAATTCAATGATTTTCAAAATCTACTATTTTAATAAAAATTTTCAAAAGAATTCAATTATTTAAAAAAAGAAATTTTGATAAAATTCTAAGCATACATTAAATTATAAATTAATTAAATTTATTAATTTATGAAAGTAATTGAACAAATTTTATCAAATTTTTTTTTAAATAATTCAAATAATGTAAAGAATCTTATTATTTATGAAAATAATTGAATCCCTGCAACGAATTTTATAACATTTTTTTTAAATAATTGAATTCTTTTGAGAACTTTTATTAAAATAGTAGATTTTGAAAATATTTGAATTTCAACGAAGAATTTCATTATATTCGTGATATGTAATTAAATTCTTGCAAAAAATTTAAGAAAACAATTCCATTTTTCTAGGATTTTATTTTAAATTGTATTAAAAATAATTGAAATCCTCAGAAAAAAATTTTTAATTTGTGAAAATAATGAAATTCTTACAACGATTTTTATCAATTTTTTTTTTTAAATAATTGAATTCATGTGAAAAATTTTATTCCTTGTAAAAATAATTGAATTCCTACAACGAATTTTATTACATTTTATTTAAATAACTAAATTCTTTTCAAAACTTCTTTAAAATAGTAAATTTTGAAAATTTTGAAAATTTTTGAATTTCAGCAAAGAATTTCATTATTTGTGAAATGTAATTTAATTCTTGCAAAAAATTGTTGAAGATTATTTAATTTTTCGAAAAATTTATTTAAAATTGTATTAAAAATAATTAAAACCCTGTGAAGAATTTTATTATTTATGAAAATAATTGAATTTTATTATAATTTTTGTAAATAATTTAATTTTTTTTAAAAAAGTATTATGGAAATCTAAATTTTTATAAAACATGAAGATATGAATTACTCCGAGTCGAAGACTCGGAGTAATTCATATCTTCATGTTTTATAAAAATATTCTTATAAGTCGTTGAGTTTTAAAAATGTTTGAATTTAAATGTTTTGAAGAATTTTAATTCCAATGGGAAAATAACAATTAAATACTTATTTAAAAATAAAGTTATTGATGTTTGTGAATAATTTTACAATTAAAGAAATTCGTAAGTAAATGTAATAGAATGTTTTTGTTGAGTATCTAATAATTTTTAGAGTGAATCAGAGTATTCTTTAGGGTCAGGGAAAAAGTCAAAATTTTGTCTGGAAATCAGGGAAAAACAAAATTAATTTTTTGTGGCAACCCTGAATAAAGTAGCCATTGTTATCCTAGGGCAATAAAGTGTACTTTATTGACCTTACTCATTGGTCAATAAAGTATACTCATTATTGCCCTAGGGCAATAATGGACACTATTGGGTACTCAGTATTACCCTAGGGCAATAATGGACACTTTATTGCCCAGCTGCGCTTATATAGTTAGCATGCACCGGAACAGGTAGCATAGAGTGACCTTAATAAACCTTTGTTGCATAAAGTATAACAAGCAAAACAATTTACAGATTTTTTTATTGAAATAAATATTTATTGCAATGCAAGAATGCAATTGATTATAAAATATTTAACAATATTACTTTAATGCAACTCATAAAGACAAGGAAGAAAATATCTAGAAATAAGCGGTAAATATAAAAAAGATTAAATTACCATGCAGATCAAACACTTGTAAGGTTGCCCTCGAATCTCGGCCTCAAGTTCCTTGATTCGTCCTCGAAGAGCCTCGACGACGGGAGCTTCAACTTCATTCTTTGGAGTCACTGAAGAGGAATTTTCTTCGACCTCATTCTGTTGTCCCGACGGAGTTGTTGAACCAGGTTCTGGTTTAACTTCGATCTGCATACGCGACTGATCTGGAGGAGTGTGCGGGGGTGCATTAGGCGATATCACCGCTTCCCGAAGAGCGTCTCTCTCCTTTTGTTCCCTTGAGTCGCCATCGACTCTTAGTGCTACTACGTCAGCCTCTGAATACTGAGCTGGACCGAATTGAGCTGTTTCGTCTCCATCCACAATTAAATCCACGTCCTCGTCTTCATGATGACCACTTGCGGAATTACGACTGCTGGAGGATGTCGCTAAACCGACAGCTACAATCAGACAAATATTTTCGGAATTAATCAAAAAGTGTAAATCGTCAGTCGGATATTAAGAAATTCTTTTTACAATCTTTTTGAAATTACAGTAGTTGGATATTCAATAATTTCTACATGAAAAATACAGACACATATTTTTTTATTTTTCACTAAATTATTCTTAGCGAAGTTATGCACATTGTAACTTTGAATGGTAGAACTCGAAAGAACAGTGGCAGAAGATTGTCCAGCTTGTAATTTTCTTTCTAATGAGTGTAATTAAATTTCTTTTCTTGGATCTTGTGGGGAGTCCAGTCCTCTTTAAAATTCAGTTTGAAATTTACTAAGAGCTTCAAAATTAGCCCTTGAAACCCTAGTCTTTTTTTCAATCCAAATTTTTACCATAAATTCTCAACAATATAAAAAACAATTCTTATAAGTTTTGATATCTTCAAAATATTTATTTTTATAATATTTATTCTTTAATAAAAATCTAGCAAATGTCACACGCGCTAGCACGCGGAACGTGATATCCAATTTATTATTATTATTATGCAAATTACAAAATTTTTTATTTTTAAATAATTTCAGATTCAAACTTAACAAAAATTTTATTATTATTTACTATTTTACCAATTAATTATTCTTGTTTAATAATTTCAAAACTTTTAATAAAACTCTTCGCAAGAATTCAATTATTTTCATAAATAATAACTTTCTTGTCAAGAATTTAATTATTTTTATAAATATATAATATTGCAAAAATTCAAATATTTTTTTAAACAAAATTTTAATAAATCCTTCAAAACAATTTAATTCTATTTTTTTAAATAGTAAAATCTGTGCAAAAATTCAATTATTTTCAAATAAATTTTACGAAAGAATCTACTATTTAAATCAAATTTTCCAAAAGAATTCAATTATTTAAAAAAAAATCTTAAAAAAGTTCTAAGCAAACATTTAATTATTTCCATAAATACCTAAAATTTCACAATAATTCAATTATATTTACAATTTTTTATAAATTTCGTCTAAATAATTCAATTATTTTCATAAATAATAAAACTCATAGCAGAATTTCAATTATGTTTAATACAATTTTAATTTCAATTCTGTATTTAACGTTATTTCCAAAATTTTAACGCAATTCTTAGAAAGAAATCAATTGTCTAGATAAATATCAAAATTCTTCCCAGAAATTCAATTGTTTTCAAGAATTATCATAAAATTCTTTGCAAAATTCAATTATTTTCGTAAATAACAATATTAATCACAAGAATGAAATTATTTTCGAGAGTAATAAAATTCTTTTCAGAAATTCAATTATTTTAAAAAATTAAAAAAAAATTCTCGCCATGATTTCAATTATCTTTATAAACAGCAAAAATCTTCGCTGTAAATCAATTATTTAAAAAAAATTTAATAAAATTCTACGCAAAACAAATTTTTTTTCATTCATAATCAAAATTTCCCAGGATTTCAATTATTTACAAATAAAAAAAAAATTTTTTTGCAATAATTCAATTATTCTTATGAATAATTTTGATACAATTTTAATCAAATTCCTTGAAAAATGTGATTTTTCCTAAAAATTTTATTAAAATTCGTAAAAAGAACTCAATTATTTAAAAATTTTTTGATAAAATTCTTTATGAAAATTCAATTTTAAAAATTCAATTATTCAATAAATTACTTATTTTTGCATTTAAATAATTGAGTTTTCGTAGCTAATTTTCTGATAAAAATTTATTTTAAAATGAATTTCTGAATAATTGATTTAGTATTTATGAAAATAATTGAATTCTTGCAAACGAATTTTATTACATTTTTTTTAAATAATTGAATTGTATTGTGAAACTTTACTACAATGTAAAAATAATTGAATTCTTGCGAAGGATTTTATTAGGATTTTTGAGAATAATTAAATTTATTTTGAAAAATTTTATGGTAATCTAAATTTATTTTATAAAATATTTTATAAAATTTTAATAAGTTGTTAATTTCAAATGGTTGAATTTGAAATTTTTGAAATTCTTCATTTCGATGGAAAAATAATAATTAAATATTTGAAAAATAAGTTAAATAATATTTAAAAAATAATAAGTTATTGATGTTTTCGAATAATTTTACGATTAAAGAAATTTTTAAGTAAATGTATTAAAAAATATTTTTGAGTATCTAATAATTTTTAGAGTGAAGCAGAATATTCTTTAGAGTTTGTAAAAAAGTGAAAATTTTGTCTGGAAATCAGGGAAAAACAAAATTAAATATTTGTAGCAACCCTTATTATTAAAAACTAGTTTTAATTTATCTTTCACGCTACTGAAGATTTTTTGTGTAAGCGGATTACCAGGGGCTACCCGGAGTAGCTAAAAAGACTTAATTTTTAAAATCCTTTTTTTAAAACTCTTAATGTTTCGAAAGTAATGGAAATTTTGTTCAGTGACTTAAAATTTACGATTAAATTACATAGTGCAAAACTAGAGCAGACTTTTCTTTTGTCTAAAAGCTTTTTAATTATATATTTTTTAATTATTCAATTATTTATTAATTACTGAGTCTTTAATCTTGCTATTTTAATGCAAAACTTAATGATATTAAGAAGCTATTAACTTATTGTTATGAATTGAAATGAAAAAATTAAAATTTTACCAGAAAATCCGCCGACGAGCATAGAAGTGGCTCTAACCCGTTTCTGCCCAGCCCACTCGTATTCCTCGAATGTTTCGGAATCGCCTTCGACATCGACGTCTTCCTCATCATTGACATTTGATCCAGTGGAATTGCCATTGTGTTTGTTTAAACATCTCTCAACATGTTGATTCAATTCTTCTGGCGTTCCAGAGAGTCGTTCGTTGCAAACCGGACAGGTTGGATCGTCGGCTTTCCTCTTCCGATTCTTGAGACGAATTCTACCCTATAAATACACAAAGTCAAATCTCTTTTAATTATCAATCTTATCAAGTTTGTCCGACGATGTGGAATTACGAATAATGAATATGTATGCCTAACGCTGATTGCGCACCAGACCTCGTTAGTAGCACTGTCGTTAATCCCTTTCGAGTTTGTAAAGTCTCAGGGTTACAAAAGAACGAATAAGATATTCAGAAGTTTTCATTTTTAAAAGTGACAATTTTTTACTTTATATTATTAATAAGCAAACAAGTATATATATATATGTTTTTCAATTACTCCAATCACGAGGTTATTAGGAAATAAATATGTTAAAACTTCGACGCTGAGTTTTCTTTGTAAGGTTCTCATTTATGTATATGATTAACTGTATGGATGCAAGGTTTTGATAGAAATGCCAGAGTTGTCAAGTTAGCGGTTTTTCCATTAAATTTAGTAAGATCTTGGCCCTTCGGTAGCAATTTTAGTAGAAGGAATATTTTAGTAGAAAAATTAGTATGTTTTTTTTCGCTTAGTAGATTTTTTTAGTGTTTTTTACCTAAAAATAATTGTATACTTTCACACTCATGATCTAGTTACAAAATGCGCTTTAAGCATGTTTTCATATGTCAATTATATAAATAAATTTTACTTAAAATTAATAAATGTTCGAAATGTTTTAAAAACATCTATAACTATAATAGTAAATTGTTATACATTCAACTATTATATTTTATGGCACAATTATTTAAATAACTTTTCAAAAATCAATGTGCAAATTCAACAAATTTGGGCTCAGATAATTTTAGTGGAAAAAAAATTTGTTAGGGGAAAATATATGACGATCTAGGGACAGGGCTCGAACCAGTGAAAGTATTTAAAAATACGGACTTTACGGACAAAAAATTAAAAATTACAATCCGAGTCAAATAAGAGAACATTTTATTTAAAACTATAAATTAAATTTTTCATAACTATAAAACATGAAGATATCGATAACTCCGAGTCTTCGACTCGGAGTCATCGATTTCTTCATGTTTTATAATAATTAAAAACGACAGAATGATAAAATCATAATCAATTCAATTATTATTTTCAACAATTTTTAACGAAAATTCATTATTTTTAATAATTTTCGTAAAAGTTCTTTGACAATTTTCAAATTCATTTCCTTACAATATTAAATTTTACGAAATTTCAATTTTTCGTAAATTCTTCAATTAAACATATATTAGAAAATAAAAACTTCAAATAATATAAAAAAAATTCTCAATTAAACTTTCTCAAAAAAAAAATTAATTCCACAGAATTGTTAGTTAAAAATATGAAAAATTCAAATTTTCAAAGATTTTAATCTGAAACTTTTTCAAAATTCAATTATTTCTAAAATTTTTCGCTTTGACGCTTTTAATATTCAATTATAATGTAAAATTTGAACTGAAATCCATTTTTAAATCTATTTTTATGAAAAAATTCTACTAGAATTCAATTATTTAAATACAAAAAACAATTTATTAAATAATTGCATGTTTCTTAAAATTGAATTCTCATAAAGAATTTTATTAATAAATTTGTAAATAACTGAATTCATTTGACGAATTTTAATAAAATTTTTAAGAATAATTACATTTTTTCGAGGAATTCGATTAAAATTGTATTAAAAATAATTGAAATTCTGCAATGAGTTTGATTATTTATCAAAATAATTAAATTCCTAGTAAGAATTTTATTATTTACCAAAATAATTGAATCCCTGTAAAAATTTTATTATTTATGAAAATAATTGAATGATTGTGATGAAATTTATAAAAAAAATTGTAAATAATTCCTGTAAAATTTTGATTATTTTTTAAAAATAATTAAATGTCTGTGTAGAATTTTATTAAATTGTTTTTTAAATAATTGAATTCTTTTGGAAAATTTTATTAGAATAGTAAATGTCTATTCAAAATCATGGAATTGATGAAAATTTTTGAAAATAATGTAGTATTAATCACTTAACAATTACTAATTAAATATGTAACCGGAATTGGCACGCAGAACAAAAGAGGATCTGTTAAACAAAATATGAATTATAATTAAACAAAAACTTAGTTGTCATTCAGACATCTGTCACGATAGACGCAAATGTATGAAAACACTATTTAAAATAAATACTAATCAAGAGTTAATTGATCTTTGATTTCATAATAACTATTAATTATACTACAATTGGGGGCTCGTCCAAAGAAAAAAAAAAAAAAAAAAAAAAAATTCTTTCTTCACGAAAAATAAGAAACGTCAAATTCACAATGACAGATATCGAGAGACAATTGGAAGAATTACACGATTTATCCGACGACAACATGAGGGAACGACTAGCGGAACTTGGACTTCCATTAACCGGATCAACCGCTAATTTAAGAGAAAGACTTCGAAAAGAGCTGACGAAAGATCATCAATTAACCATCAACGACGACGATCACGACGCTTTGACAGATGATGAAGTAAACATAAATTCTTTAAAACTAAATGAATTAAAATTTAGATTACGACAATTGGGTTTGTCAATCATAGGAAATAAACCGGAATTAAAAAATCGTTTACTAGAAGCATTAGAAAGCATAAATCAAGAACCCAATTTAAGAGGCTTTACCGAAGAAGAACAAAAAGAATACGAAAAGCAAAGACGAGAAGATGAACAAAGACGAGAAGATGAGCAAAGACGAGAAGATGAACAAAGACGAGAAGATGAGCAAAGACGAGAAGATGAGCGAAGACGAAAAGATGAGGACCCTAAAGTTTTGAACGTTCATTTGAACGAAATTTTTTTTTCTTCATTTAACAAATTTTTCTCAATAATCCTGTTTAGAATAGTAAATAAAACAAATATCAATCAAAAAATTCCAAAAATATTAATATTAAGGGTGAAAAACCACCCTTAATCAAATAACCCATATATGCATAATAATAAATTGCACAATATCACTACTATGCGTTCGGATATTTTTCTAACAACAATTCCAAAAATTCTCTAAAAATATACCAATCAATTTCCAAGAAGTTAGAATGCTCGCTCGAACCCCCAAAACCCACCCCTAATTTAAAATACTTAAAAAAATACATAAAAGTGCAAAAGCGAGAGAATGCGTTCGTCTTTCTTTATGAAAATATTTTTAAAAATTCCCTAAAAATATACCAAGCAATTTCCAAAAGGTTAGAATGCTCGCTCGGACCCCCAAAACCCACCCCTAATTTAAAACAATTAAAAATAATATATAAAAGTCCAAAATCGAGAGAATGCGTTCGTCTTTCTTTCTGAAAATATTTTTTAAAATTCCCTAAAAATATACCAAGCAATTTCCAAAAGGTAAGAATGCTCGCTCGGACCCCCAAAACCCACCCCTAATTTAACATACTTAAAAATAATATATAAAAGCCCAAAAGCGAGAGAATGCGTTCGTCTTTCTTTCTGAAAATAATTTTAAAAATTCCCTAAAAATATACCAAGCAATTTCCAAAAGGTAAGAATGCTCGCTCGGACCCCCAAAACCCACCCCTAATTTAACATACTTAAAAATAATATATAAAAGCCCAAAAGCGAGAGAATGCGTTCGTCTCTCTTTCTGAAAATAATTCTAAAAATTCCCTAAAAATATACCAAGCAATTTCCAAAAGGTAAGAATGCTCGCTCGAACCCCCAAAACCCACCCCTAATTTAACATACTTAAAAATAATATATAAAAGCCCAAAAGCGAGAGAATGCGTTCGTCTCTCTTTCTGAAAATAATTCTAAAAATTCCCTAAAAATATACCAAGCAATTTCCAAAAGGTAAGAATGCTCGCTCGAACCCCCAAAACCCACCCCTAATTTAAAATACTTAAAAAAATACATAAAAGTGCAAAAGCGAGAGAATGCGTTCGTCTTTCTTTATGAAAATATTTTTAAAAATTCCCTAAAAATATACCAAGCAATTTCCAAAAGGTTAGAATGCTCGCTCGGACCCCCAAAACCCACCCCTAATTTAAAACAATTAAAAATAATATATAAAAGTCCAAAATCGAGAGAATGCGTTCGTCTTTCTTTCTGAAAATAATTTTAAAAATTCCCTAAAAATATACCAAGCAATTTCCAAAAGGTAAGAATGCTCGCTCGGACCCCCAAAACCCACCCCTAATTTAACATACTTAAAAATAATATATAAAAGCCCAAAAGCGAGAGAATGCGTTCGTCTTTCTTTCTGAAAATAATTTTAAAAATTCCCTAAAAATATACCAAGCAATTTCCAAAAGGTAAGAATGCTCGCTCGGACCCCCAAAACCCACCCCTAATTTAACATACTTAAAAATAATATATAAAAGCCCAAAAGCGAGAGAATGCGTTCGGCTTTTGATCTCAAAATATTTTTAAAAATTCCCTAAAAATGTACCAAGCAATTTCCAAAAGGTTAGAATGCTCGCTCGAACCCCCAAAACTCACCCCTAATTAAAAACAATTAAAAATAATATATAAAAGTCCAAAATCGAGAGAATGCGTTCGTCTCTCTTTCTGAAAATAATTCTAAAAATTCCCTAAAAATATACCAAGCAATTTCCAAAAGGTAAGAATGCTCGCTCAAACCCCCAAAACCCACCCCTAATTTAAAATACTTAAAAAAATACATAAAAGTGCAAAAGCGAGAGAATGCGTTCGTCTTTCTTTCTGAAAATAATTTTAAAAATTCCCTAAAAATATACCAAGCAATTTCCAAAAGGTAAGAATGCTCGCTCGGACCCCCAAAACCCACCCCTAATTTAACATACTTAAAAATAATATATAAAAGCCCAAAAGCGAGAGAATGCGTTCGTCTTTCTTTCTGAAAATAATTTTAAAAATTCCCTAAAAATATACCAAGCAATTTCCAAAAGGTAAGAATACTCGCTCGGACCCCCAAAACCCACCCCTAATTTAACATACTTAAAAATAATATATAAAAGCCCAAAAGCGAGAGAATGCGTTCGTCTCTCTTTCTGAAAATAATTCTAAAAATTCCCTTAAAATATACC